TATATATATATATATATATATATATATATATACAATATATATATATATATATATATATATATATATATATATATATAAATTCCAATACTAAAATACATATAATCTCTGTTTACCTATTTCTATTTATTCTTTAAATTGTTAATGTACAGTTAGGAGATCAGGAGAGAGATGCTGAACAGCATGAGTAGTGCCCAAAGGCCTACCGGGGTCAGTTCTCTGGGGCAACAGGCCATATAGGCACCAAGAACCAAAGCAAAATGAACCCCTTCCAGTTGTGGAAGAAACTGGAAACATTACTTTGAAAACCCAGGCTCTTAATGGCAGTTTGACAGTCACAATTCCGGGTGATTAGAGCAGAGGTACCTAATCCTAAAAATTGATTCAACTATGGTCAAACAGAGGAGTGTGCGGCCTCATTTAAAAAATCGTATCCGTCATTAGTGCCTTTGGACCCTGTGTCGGGGACCTTGGGCTCTGTGTCAGGGAATCTCTGGCACCGCCACCCGACATTTCCTCCCTGGGCCTCCTGCTTGGACCCTAGACCCATAATAGAACCCTGGCTATGAATGAAAATAGATAACTGAGTAATAACTAGGCCTTTTAAATGTCTAAATACCTAAAATGCTGTAGCTTCTCTATGCCAAATCAAACCACTTGGCCCCTAGGCAATCTGAGAACCATGTCATTACTTTTGTAACATTTGTCATGCATAGTGCGGCATTCTCCTCTCCTTGGATAAACTTTTATCATAAGCTTTTCTGGAGATTATACACTTAAGAACTGAAGAAAAACAGTGCTGCCGATGCTAACTGCAGTCTTTCAAATAGCTCTGTATAAAGCTTGGTTTCCATACAATCACTACACGCTATTGCCAACAGCTTTCAATGATACTGGTCGGTCGAATTGGGGAGCCTTCCCGATTGCGTCGGGGAACGAAAACACAGTAGCGCTTTTAAGGAAACCAGGCTTCAATCTGTACCTTACGATTATTACCTTATTTATCCAAATAAATGCTCCGGGGCGTTTATTTTTAGAGAAGGGCTTTTGAGGGGTGTTTATTCAAGAGAGGCATTTATTTGATGGAGGCAATTATTTTTTTTGGTGTAAAACGGATATGTATATACTTTGATAAACGCCCCCTTACCATAAATTCGAATAAGCGCAGCTCCCAAATAAACGCCACACCAAATCCGATTTTTTTTTTTGCTAAGCACCACTCTCAAATAAGCACCGCTGTGCTTAATTGAGAGTATATACCCTGTGTGTAATGAAACACTCTGAGAAACAGGGTTTTAAATACAATGTATACAGCGTTAAAATTAAAATGAATATATCACACAATGAAGACAAAAGCATTTCTTTATAAACAATTATTTACGATGACATAGGACCTATGACAGGCCTACAGAGTTACGGGAATACGTGAGATAGGTAACATGTGAACGGCCATGGAAGCTCGACACCAATATTTTTTCATAAGCGCCTCTCCGAAATAAGCGCCGCACTAAAGCATCCAAACATTTTTATAAGCCCTGCAGCGCATATTCAAGCATTTATAGTAATTTGACTGTAAATGTGCAACTACAACAACACATAATTATAACAAAAATGTTTTACCGCATGATAATAAAGGCTTATTAATCCTAACCAGGTTCGAATAAATGTAATTCTACTGGAGTAGAACATTAATAGAATTTGTTGAGAATGATGTTGCTTCCATTTTTTTTACAGTCATTTGGTGGGGTGGGCGTTTATTCAAAGCAGCGTTACACTATATTAAATTTTCCTTATTAAATACTAAAACTTCCTTGACAAGCAGTGCTAGTATCTCAATGGCTGGGTAAAGCTCATGTGAAATTAAAAAGTTATAGTGGTTATTGTAAGTACACAATTATTGTTACTCCTTTCCACTAGGTGCAGATCCAGGTATTGTTCAACTAGGGGGCATGAAATGCCAATCGAGTTCCCAATGTTTTAGAGTGTTCTCTTTTTTTGTGACAGTCCATGGATGGGCTAAACTTCTGGAAACTCAACAGTTTTAGCCATTTTCTTTCATTATTCTAAAGATTTCCATTTTTTTAGCTTGCCGGCAGAACTAGATCACCAACCGAAGCTGCAGATAATTGTTAAGTTTATTTTTTCAATATTAACATAAGTTCATCTGGACCGTTGTCTCTTATCTGTTGATAGTAACGTTATGGACATTTGATCCTGAAATAACAATATTGTTGTCCCCTTTCACCTGTACATAGTGTCCTTGTGCTCTAAATTCTGGTTGCCACTGCTGGCCAGCTTGTCTGCCTGGACCCCCTACTTTTCTTGCGTCTGCTGCATCGGCTGAAAGAAAAAGTATTATACTTTGTTATTTTCTTAAATTTTGTTGCAGAAACAACTTTTTTGTTAATAACTCTGTTGCTGCAAAATTTTCTGTCAGGTATTTTAAATACCTATATTGTAGAGCTTTCAAATAAATAATAAATCAAGAATATATTTTATAGTTTTCCTATGTTGCAAAAGCCTTTAAAATAAGCATAAGGAATAAAAAATATAATTAAGCAATAGTTCTTAATGCTATGTATTTGTATAAGAAGCGTGTCTTCTGTAAGAAGTTCAATTTTAGATACAAACATTTATATCAATCCCTCTACAGCAGTGGCATATCTAGAAGTCTTTAAATGTGGGTGCTGATCGGTGAAGTGGTGGTGCTCGATGATCAGTTGAGGGGCGCTAATTCGCAAAATAAGGTGATTTTAGGGGATTTTTAACTACTTGAGCGTGACTTTTTGGTGGGGGGGAGACTGGGGGGAGGCGCGAGTAATTTTTGAGAGGGATGTGTGCCCTCACGCACCCCCTAGATACGCCACTGCTCTACAGGGGTGGTTTCGTGCAGTGGCGAATGTGGGAGTCTTGAAATGGGGGGCCCTGATGGGGAGCGTGAAGGTTAAGAGTGAGCTCGATGATTAAGGTGATTTGAGGTGATTTTTCACTACTTCAGCATGATTCTATTTTGCTGGGGAGGCGCCCCTAGATAAACTACTGTTTTCGTAAGACAATCTATGTGTTAAAAGTGGCTATAATCAACCAGTTAAGACATCTATTGTACCTCCTGCATTTCTTGGCATTTGTGAGAAGTCTGTTGAATCTAACACTGGAACGATGTGTTTTTGTGTTGGACTCTTTTCAAGGCTCCTACGGAATACTTCATATGCTGTTGGACCTTTCCTTGGCAACCAATTCAGAAGCTTAGCACAACGATCCTAAAGGAGAATGGACAACTTAATGGTTATAACTTATACTGAGTGAATTATCGTAGTGTAGGTGATTTATCTTATCCTGGGACAGCTTAACTTACATAGCGTGACTTATCTAAACCTGGTAAGGGGGTAACATATCTTACCCTGGGGTTTGCAATAACATTGAGTTCCTCCAACTCATCTTCATTGAATATTCCATCACCTAAGAGGGAGTTGGACACATGCTCAACATCAATGTTGTCAAGTAAGTACGTCCGATTGGCGGTTAATCGCAATTTTTCATTTGGATTCATGTCTGAAAAGAAAGCATATAAACATGAAAGGCAGGAGAGTTGACAGATAATCAGATGATACTCAATGGCCAAAACCATTCAAATAATTTTTGAGGTAGGCCTACTCTTCTTGAAATCCATGTAACGGAACTACTCTGTACTGTACTACTACTATGACGTCTTGTAACTTATTTTGGACATCTATCACAATCACATCAACCCATTTTTATTTACTTTTTTAAACTGAATGAAACATGTTTCTCAGTGTATGTTCTTCCGAAGCCGTTTTAGCCGTCAATTTTACCAGTAAACATCACTGACCAACCAGTAAAAATTGAGTGTTGGTAGAATAAAAAAAAACACTTATTATGCCTAGGTAGATTAATCTTCTTTCAATAATGAACATCATTCCTCTGTTCCAGTCTAGGCCTAGGCTATGATGTATTGTTGTTTTTTGAAACACCACTTAAAAGAAGCAATACCTCACGTTACACACGCTTATCTGGCTTTATATGAACAAATTTACCAGTATAAATTTTTCAATTGGGAGAACACTGTTTTCTTAAGCTGTACTGAAGAACTTCGAGGGAGCCTAGTAATAATATTAGCCCCCTCCCCTCCCCGTCATTATTATTCAGATTAATAGTCATTCTATTCAGGGGTCCCAAGTTAGAAGAAACCATTTCTGGGAGATTCGTTTAATGACATTAGGGGCACTATATATTCTATGAGGAAAAATGTAGGTACCAAACGAAGGGCAATGCCCACTTCAGGCCCTCCATGATTGGGGCTGAGGTGATGACATGTTTTTTAGAATAGGCACCTTTAGAAGCCCAGAAATGGCACTGTAAACAAATAATCGGCAACAAAATTTTAGGTCTAAATAAAACAAAAAGATTTGTTATTTTGCTGAATTTGCGGGAGATAAGTGTATTTCTGGGATTTTTTTGGTGTTTGCAGGAGTGCGGGAGACCATACGGATTTCCGGGAGACTCCCAGGAGTTCCGGGAGACTTAGGACCCCTGGTTATTTGAACATGATCAGTGCATTTCATGTTGTTATTATCGCCTAGTAGGTTTAGGCTTAATGCTACTTTACAGCATTCAGGAGTGGTATGTATTGAATCATGCTTGTTTAGTTAAACTTAAGTTGGAAGAAGTCATTTCAAGAGATATTTGCAGTGTAGTTTTATTTTGCTCCACACTGTGATACTATTGGCCCATAGACTTCCATGAGAGAATATCAGTGAAATCATGCAAATATTACAAATTTGTGGGAAATGGATTATTTCCGGGGGATTCTTGCTTCAGTTTCGAATTTAAATGGAGACAGCTGGCCCAGGCCCCCCCCCCCCACCACCGAAATTGTTCAGATTTTAAATAATGAAGATATTAAAACAAATTATATTCAAATTTTAAGTTTGAGAGTGCAATTTCTGGCCATCTAGATAAGATAAGATAAGATAATTCTTTATCGTCATGACCACAAACATAGGCGAACATGAAATTAGGTTTCCTTGATATTACACAAGTTGTGAACAGTACAAGGTTAGTAAAAAATATATTAAAACTGATACTGCTAAAATACATGGAATATCCAAAATGAAAAAAAATAACTTAATTTATCTTTGATATGATGAGTTAAATGAATTGAGTTGTGGACAAATTATTTTCTACATCAAGTTGTTTTACATTCTAAAGGACGAAGCCTACCTGATTTATTAACTACATATTTATCATTTAATGGGTGAGAAATATCTTCCATTATTTTCTTAATTTGGCTAAACACATCACGTCTGTATACGTCATCAACGTCGCTTAAAACATTTGGTTCTGAAATTGCCACCCCATTCTATGGATACATGATTTAAAGTTAGTGGGGTCTGAGAGCATCCACCCCTGCCCTCACTATGAAGTGTACAACTTTTTTGGCACTTTTAAACATCCGGAAATAGATGCTGACATCCTGTATAGCCGGTACCATTTTCTCTTTAAGGAGACAGCCACAAGATAGCATGGAGATAGTACGGTATGACTCAAGACATAGTTACCAACCATCTTGCATCGTGCGGGGCGGTCCTGCCTTTCAAAATGATTTTGGTTGAAACAAGCATTTTGCAGAAACCAGGAATTGGTTTTATTAAAAATATAAAAACATTCAAGCAGTAACTTGAGTCATTAAAAAGTATTTACGTGAATACTTAATTCACTGATGCGTTACTAAAATTCGATCAGTATGCCTATACATTTTCTATTTGTTTAAGTAATAAAATGTTGTGTACATTATAGTTTGGGCGCTCAAATTAAACGTACTGTGTACTAAAACTCAAATTGTACGTGGCTCTATTAAAAACAAACACACCTTGAAATCGTTTTAGAACAGCTTAAAGATGTTCAGGTCGTCCTGGACTGTGGTGTATCTATAGGGCTGCTGGGGGGAATGCCCTCCAATTACTCGCGCCCAATTTGTTGAAAAGCACATAAAAACAGCTTATTTTGCGAGTTTTTGACCCCTACCGGACCTCCGCCTCTGGACCCTGGAGGGGCCCCCCCCATTTAACCTGGTGTAGTAACGCATTTCAAATCTCTCAAGTTAGTAACTATGCAAGAAAACATTAGACCTACAGTATATTCACAAAAGAGATATATTAAAGGTCTAAATATCCCTTGTACATAATGCTAAAGAGGATTATTATCACGCTGTAGATGAGTTCTTAAATTGTTAATTTTTTTTTTCTATTAAGTGCTGTGTTTGCTTATGTTAGGCTTTATACCGATTATACTTAAAGGGCCGTCGGAATCGCATCGGCCACCTGCATACTTAAAAAATGAATGGCCCACTTTACGGGTATAAATTTTGATTGCAAGTAATTAGGGACGGCTTGACCCGTATACCTTTGTGTGGTGACGAAAATTTGCCTGACTCCAACCCCCAAAATTTTATAAATAGTTATTTTACATTTATCTTAAAGATCTTGGAACATGGTATTTTCTGTAGAGGGTGCTCTCGACTCGGTTTCAGACGCGAATCTTCGTTAGTTTCCGGTAGCCGCTTTGTGAAAACGTCAGAAGAGGAACGAAGTTTCTTCGCGCGAATCACAATCGTTGTTTGTACATGGTAGAACGAAGCTTTTGTATGGAAAGAGAACAATAAAATGCCGAAATGTAATCAAAGATGGCATAAGCTTGCACGTATTTCCCAAAGACCCAGTTGCTTTTAGAAAGTGGGAAAATTGTGTACAGGTAAAGAGAAGTCACTGGAAAGATAGCCCGTACTCGTGTACAATTATGTTCTGACCACTCTGACGACTGAACAATTAATATAGAGAATCCGGTGAAAATCGGGCTTGGATTTGGAAATAGTTAGGCCTATGTCTATCAATTTGCTATTGTTTGTATATAATTTTATTCTTCATAAGTTAAGTTAAAAACTGACACAAGAGCGATACTAGCCTATCCTGTATCGCTCATCGACCTTACCTGCTGCCTGTCAGATCAGCCGGGCTAGGCCTAGGCCTAGCCCAGACTATCGGTTCGCATCTACTACTACGAGGCTAGGCCTAGGGGTAGATGGTCCAAATTGCGGTAAAGGCCCATATTGCCATAATTACCAATTTAATTACATATAATTAATTAACTGTACATGGTAGTTACAATTTCAAACCTTTCACGGCTTCATCTTCGCATCTTTTCGAGAACAACAACTCTCGCTTACCGATGCAGCCGTTCGATCGGCAAAGAGAAGGAAAATAAAAATGACCTTTTAAACCCGGAAGTGAGGTTTGGGTTTAAATAGCCAATCATGTAACACGTGGCCTTTCCATTTTGGTGAAAGGTAAGCAATTTGTCAACTTGCTTGCATTTTGAATTTTTGTTGGCAGTTGCTTATGGTAATAAGCTAATACGAGAATCGTCCATTTTTTATGACTGAGAAATATATAGAGAAATCTAGGGGAGGACCGCAAATTGGAACACAGACATTGAAAGGTCCTAATTGCGGTAGTAGTATACTTTTTTAGCTTATGCATTCCAGATAAATGATAATTAATGTTTAATACTTGTGTATTCTGTTCTTTTTTCAATAAATAAAGCCTGTTTTTAATAAAATTCACTGCATTGCCTGTTGTCTTGTCTCATTTTCTTCACATATGGAGGTAAAAAAAAAAATAGTTCCCACGCTTACTTCCCACGCTTTTTTCTCACGATGTTTATATCTCCCGCTTGGTATCACGTGCCAACCAGTGGCGGGAATGTGTATCGTAGTTTTGAATCTAGGTCAAGGTCAGGATACACTCACAATTTAAAAACCTTCTATTTTTCATCCAATAACATACTTACGATTCATTGCTTGCTTCTGATTGGTGAGTATAATATATGTTTATTCATTTAGGATTTTTCGATTTACGTTCGTTTTACAGTGTCCTAAGAAAAAATATTATCAATCGATCAATTGACAAAACCGATCGCTAGGCTAATAGCTACTAAATATATTAAAACTGATACTGCTAAAATACATGGAATATCCAAAATGAAAAAAAATAACTTAATTTATCTTTGATATGATGAGTTAAATGAATTGAGTTGTGGACAAATTATTTTCTACATCAAGTTGTTTTACATTACAAGCCTACCTGATTTATTAACTACATATTTATCATTTAATGGGTGAGAAATATCTTCCATTATTTTCTTAATTTGGCTAAACACATCACGTCTGTATACGTCATCAACGTCGCTTAAAACATTTGGTTTTGAAATTGCCACCCCATTCTATGGATACATGATTTAAAGTTAGTGGGGTCTGACAGCATATCCACCCCTGCCCTCACTATGAAGTGTACAACTTTTTTGGCACTTTTAACCATCCGGAAATAGATGCTGACATCCTGTATAGCCGGTACCATTTTCTCTTTAAGGAGACAGCCACAAGATAGCATGGAGATAGTACGGTATGACTCAAGTCTTTCAAAATTTTGGTTGAAACAAGCAGTTTAATTCACAGTCTACGATTGTTACAAGACATTCATAATGTCACAAAAATTGTAGTTTAAACAAATAACGTATCCACAGGACCTACCAATCACACATTGCTGATCATAGCATGTTCTTTCTAGCATGTTCTTCCCGCCTTGCCAAAATGAAATGTCCTACTTTTTAGGACTACATACTACTACTAGGCCTAGTAGTATTATAATTTACTACTACAGTGTAACAATGGTCCTGGACCTGGAGGAAAGAAAGCTGTTTTAGCGCTTGCCATTGCATTGAATTATTTAGGCCTAGACTAAATCTCGTATTGGGGGAAATATAAAACACAAATAAGAAATGTAAACAAGTATGTCATCAATATAACATCTGTAAAGGTCAATGGGAAAATAATTTCAGAAAAAAATATTTAAAATTCAGCATTTAATACGTACCTTAAACATAGGGTCTACACTGTGGGAATTCCCCCTTGTGGGTTGCTGCTATAAATATACTCCTGTATAGACCGCCGCCTAGCAGTTTTGTCTTGAACAATTAAACGCCTCAAGAATGAGCCAAGAATGGTTTTTGAATGATGTTGTACTGACCTAAAAAAATGTTTTGGACATGAGCTATTCAATGCTCTTTAGGCACGGCAAGACACAATAACACCATGGAGACAGTGGCGTATCTAGAAGCATTGAAGTGCTTGAAATTAAAATATACACAGAACAATGTTAAACTTTCACTGTTTTTCTTCTTTTAATTAATCTATCACCATAAAATACATGCCCAGCTACATCCTTGGCGCAGTCGGCAGCGTCAGTCTCATAATCTGAGTTTGAGCCTCACAGAGGGCACAGTTTTTGTGTTATAAATTACTTGTGGCTTTTATTGTTTTATAAATCAATGTTCATTCATTCATAATCATTTTTTTCATCATACAATTTCTGTTAAATTAGCCATTTTAAATATATTTTTCAATTAATAGTCCTGTAATAATTATGTCAGTGGCAAATTCAAAGAAAGGGGGGGGGGGTGCCCAGCCGCCCCCCCCCCCTAAATTGTTCAAGGTTTTAAAAAATTTAAAAAATGGAGATTTTAAGTTTGAGAGAAAAATTTACGCCGTGAAATTGTTTCATCAATGCCGTGACCAGGATTCGAACCAAGGTTAGTGCGGGCTATTTAATCCTGATGTAATAAAACTGAGTCTAAACTTCAATAAACCGATGTCAAATCATGAAACTTGATACCACTTTCATCTTGACCTTATCCATTGTCCATTCATTCATGGATTTTATTCATTCAAAAAACACATAAAGTACCAAACATACATAAGAAAAACATAGGCCTACATACAAAAAAACTAACATTTATACTCGGGATATCTTCGTGGTTGGAAAATTGCTAGGGCAGGAGAACCTAATGTGCAGGGATTTTTTTATTTTTTAAAATTTTTTTTTTGTATTTTGTTTTGTTTTTTTAATTCTGAAAGAAAGAAAAAAGAAGGGAAAAAAAATCAAATTAAGTCTGAGAGTGACATTTCCGACCATCTAGAGGTTCCATCATAAAATGCCTTGCCTTAGCCCCAACCATGGTGGGGCTGAAGCGGTAGTTTCCCCGGTTGAATACCACTCCAGGGATATATATGTAACTCGTTCCTAGCTAGGTCAACCGAAATAAAACTATAAAATAGTCTATGTCCTCATTGTGTGAATGAATGAATGCCCAAAACCCTTTATTAAGCGGAAAATTTCACGTTTTTGGTTAGTGTCCCCTTAACAAGGGTACCCCATTCAGGGAACACCCCTATTAAGGGGACACTTTGTTTGTCCCGAAGGTTTTCCCTTAAGGGTTCTACTGGATTATATTGTATTCATTACTGATAATATACTAAAACGTAATAAATATAGGGCTTATAAGTTCTTAGAACGTGGCCTAGAACTTTCGTAATTATTGTGTAAATTCAATTTTCCTATTTAGCTGGTCTTGTGCCAATCTAGGCCACTCTACATAGGCTCCCTTCAGAAAGGCTTCTACTAATGGATCTTGTTGTGAAGCAGTTTGTGAAGCAGGAAATGTCCCTCCCCCGGAGTACGGTACCGCCTGATTATAAATCGACGAGAAATTTACCGATAGCTAATGATTTCATCCCATTTTATTCCGACCAATTGTATAAAACAAACACTTGCAGTGTAGTAGGTTATCTGCATTTTCAGTTTACATCGATATGTGGAGTTGAAAGCTTGGTGGGATACTTGCTTTTCTTTTTACCATATTTATAGAGGGTGACCTTCCACCTTACCTTAGAAGTCGGCTGATATTCAGGTGCCTTCTTGTAATAAATGAAATAATGTGATGCTTTTATCAGGAAGAATCTTTATGGGCTTAGGGAGTGGAAAAAGTCATTCACACGAATTGAACCAGGACCCTGGGATTAGAAGGCAAGCATCTTAACCGCTATTCAACTCCATTCCTGAGGTCCTGGGTTCAATCCCTGTTAGTGTTGCAGGATTTTTTTTCTCACGACCCAAACAACTCCATGATCCCTAAACCTCATATTAGTTGTGTAAATCATCGTGTGTCCATGTTTGTCTTGTGAAAGTGATTGTCACCTACAAGTAGGACAGTCATATAATTTGCTATTGAAAAACCTTGGTGCATGTTTTTGTGCGTAATAAATAAATAAATAAAAATAAATGAACAAAGATATAAATAAATAGGCCTATCATTTGTAACTAATCTGTCGTGAGTGTTATTGCCGGTTTTATGTTTGTAAAGTTTAACGATAAATCAAATTTCGTACTTGAATCTAAAATTATTATTTAATAGGCCTACTTGTTTTAAACCAGGATATATTTCAGGCAGATGATCTGTTTTTAACTATCCAAATTCATTATAAAAAGAAGAAAAAGTATGATTACGGGGAAAATGATAACACAAACTATCTAAAATAATGAACTATTATTGATTGTTCACAGACTGTTTTTGCTTTGTTTTAATAGGCCTATCTGATACCAAGTAGGGAAAGGACGTTCACCTTCAAACAACTGTAGGAGATGTTGCCAGATACGGTAGTATACAGGCTTCACGGCCAAACACACGCCATCTCACGGCCAAGTTCGGCCAAACTTTTTTTTTCGATATCGGCCAAAATTCGGTAAGATTTTAATCCGATTAGAAGACAACAGTTGGTACATATTCATTTGAAATACTTCAAAAATTACACGAAAATCAGCGGTCATTCATTAGAAATTTGAGAAATTAAAATATACACAGAACAATGTTAAACTTTCACTGTTTTTCTTCTTTTAATTAATCTATCACCATAAAATACATGCCCAGCTACATCATAATATTAAATAGCTTATGTTCTTTAGTTGCTGGCATGTAGGCCAATTCAGGGGCGAATCCAGAGATGTCCGAAAGGGGAGGGTCGGGGCCGACAAAAGGCGGCGGAGGGCGAAAGTGAGGCCGATCGAGATAATACCATCTTAGAGGAAATTTTTGTTTTCTAGTCGCCCAAAAATAACCTCTGATGCGTTTGGGCGATCATTTTTTTTTCCTTTTTGCTTTTGCTATTTAAAATCACATTATTAAGATTGATCTAAATTTGATTAAAGCCCCATTCCCGGCAAAATTTCACTAAAAACTGACTTTTTTTTTATAGAAAATATGCATTTGCATTACTCCAATTATTATAAATCATGGAAAATATTGGCATGAATTTTAGTTTTGCGCAAAAGAATTAAAAAAAATGGGAAATACAGACTATTTCTCATAAAATATTACCATTTTCTCGACGAATTCATCGTTACTAGGCATATTCAGAGGTTGTAGATCGCATCCACTGGAATACTCTCGCTTTTATGTATACTTTATACAGTCAATAAAGTGCGCCCTCTCTAATGAGATTAGTTTTTGTACTTCGCATTTCGCACAATTAAAGGGGAAGTGCGGGGATGAGACAAGTGGCCATATATTGCATATTTAACCTTTCCTGAGTTCGGGAAAAATACTTAAAAAATTCAAAACGTTGAGATGTAACGATAATTAGAGAAATAAAACATGATGTGATGAGACGGGAAAATCAGGTGAAAACGAGGCTGATCACTTTTTTCAGTAGCTTGGTAGCATTTTCTAACCAACTCATTAATATTCAAGACCAGTCTGTCAATTTTGGCGAAGCAGCTGATCGAAAAATCGTCCCGACGATCGAGCAACTACTAGCCCAGACAATACATAACAGTAGTGCGAAGTTGTTGTGATCGTTTACGTACGCAGTTACAGAGAGACGGTTTAGTCAACGTCAATTCAATCATGGAGGAATAATTCAATTGAATTAATATTAATAAACGTATATCAGTCCGATGACTGTTTGTTTATAATTAGGCCTATGCCTAGGATTAGCACAGTCAGTGTCTACCCAGCAGCAGTAGCGCACTCCTGACCAGGACACTGCTCCAGTCCCGCAGCAGGTGAGTTCGCACGCAGCCTTATCCAGCTGACGGTAAAGTTAGTAGG